TTCATTTTCAACAGCTAAATCATTTGTTCCACAATGAACGATTAAGGCCGTGTTCCCATCAATGTGGCCGGACGCAAGAAACTCATTTGCTTTCTTGTGGATATCTTTAATCTTGGCTCCTCGAGAACATTAAACTATAGTCTTCCCTCTGCAGGCACGGGATAATTTCCTATATTCTATATTTTTGACTAGCGAGTCACCAATTAGGCAGGCTTTTGTCGAACTGGGGAATTTTCTTTTTTTTTCGAGCACAAGGCTGCGGAACACTTTTAATTAATGTCTCTTCCACAAAAGCCATATTCAGTACTGACTGCACTAGTAAGTTTTATGTGTTTTGAGCGAAAACGTTAAAAATGTAAGCAAGTCTGAATTCTGGGACAGTGTGGGCCGTTTCTGGAGTGGATCTAGGGAGAGTTCGGGGGGGGGGGGATCGAACCCCCTAAATTAAAACAGCTTAAGTCAACAACTTGTAAAAATATAACGTAAATGCAGTCAATCTTAAATGCAATAAATTCATAACCAGCCTAAGCCTCAGAATGGGGGAACTCACATTTCCGAGGACTAACAATTTCCAAATATTATGATGGAGGATGCCCCCAGACCCCCCTGAAGGGGCAGGGGGCCTTTTCATTGAACCCCCCTCTGATAAAAACCTGGATCGGCCCCAGCATTTTCTTTTCTATTGACTTCGGTTGGCTAATTAGCCTGTTTAACAGGCTCCCCACCATCTGAACTCCGCGCTCTGTTATCTGAATTTCTGGAACAGGCTATTGGCTAACTACCTCTTCAAATCTGGCGCTCGGAGCGCGCTAAACATTTCCGGATATGTCAAGTCATTCTCGGCGATGCACGATACCGAGGGTCACGTGAATCAGGGAATCTTTTTTCATGACAGTACTTTTTCATTAAGAAGTACTTCTCAAGTTATTTGACAAGTAAAATTATTTAATTATCCTTTCTATGGTTTCATCTTTCCAGGTGTCAATGGTGACATCTTTCGGAATCAAGACAACAATGCATGGTACAAAGCCGGCGTAAAGCTTGTCGAGGACAACCTTAAATTAAAAGCAAACACCAACACCGCCAAGAGCGCTATTTTGTTCCTTGGTGATGGAATGGGTATCACTACCATCACCGCGACACGATTCCTGGACGGACAACAGAAGGGACGCACGGGAGAGGAGAATGTTCTCAGCTGGGAAGTGTTTCCGTGGTCAGCTCTCGCTAAAACATACTCAGTTGATGAACAAGGAACAGATTCCGCGAGCACCGCGACAGCATTCCTGAGCGGAATAAAAACCGATAGCGGTAAGTTCTAAACATTAACCGGGCACTCAATTGTTATATTGGCGCCCAAATATATGGTCTCTCAGAGGCCGGATTTTTTTGCTTGATTGGTATTGCGGAACTTAAAAATATATTTGTGTATTTTTGCATCTCATCATTTTATGACCGTACAGTCCAAAACGCCTGGGAACAAAGTCCACTCAGCAACGCGAATCTTCCGCCGAGTGCAAGATAATGCAATGTATAGCTACGTCGATATACTGGTATTTGTAAGTGAAAAGCTCCCTTATATTATAATATTAAGGAATCAAAATCTCTACCAGAGGTCTTATTCCTTGCAAAGGCCGAAGGCCTTCGTGTAGCGAGTTTATAATAGCGCGTAACTTCCACGAGGATAGCTAAGAAAAGTGAGATCTTGCTTTGGCCATGTATAACGTTCATTTTGCCCTTACCGCTGCTTTTCTTCCTATTTTGCCTTATATTTTCTCAGGCGTCATCGGTGTAAGTTCAAGTGTTACACGATTTCAGTGCTCTTCGGTAACTGAACAGAGCAAAGCCGCCTCCATTCTCACGCTTGCTGAGAAGGCTGGAATGTCAACGGGAATCGTGACCACCGCACGAATTACACACGCGACTCCCGCGTGTGCGTATGCTCACTCAGCAAACCGCAATTGGGAAAGTGACGGTGATATAAACAAGACTGTAACGGATGATGGGTCCAAGTGCAAGGACATAGGTATTGCTTAATAAAGTTGTATTTTACTGTAATCACGTTTGTTTTCACTCGTTAAATAACAAACAGATAATTATACATGTATATGAGTTATGCTATTCCACTACTGTTTGCTCTAAGAAGTTTTTGTAGATCTCTAGAAATCAAGGAGTACAGAATTAGAGCAAAAAAGTGCGCGCGTGATTTTTTACTTCATTGTTTAGCCACAGGGAGCCCACACAATCTGTGTGTGTAACAGATTTTTTATATTTTATAGTAAATGTACTGGATTAACCATTTGCTTCACCTATAGCGATACATCGCGAATTACGTATATAAATCAATGTTAAATAAACGTTGAATTACCTTGCCTTCGGTATATTGTGGTCATTTTTGCCAGGACCAGGGCTTACAATAGGAAGTTTAACAATTCAAACCCGAATCGTC